CAGCTCTTGTGACATAATGTATGTCAGGTGTCACAAGGAGCTTGGCCTCCACCAAGATGATCTGGAATAATCCAATGGTCTAATGGTCAGGTTAAATGGAACGTTGACATGGCCCCTGGGAGCAGTTAGCTTGGAGGTGTAGGCTGGCACCAAGAAGATAAAAACTGAGTTCACAGTAATTGACACTCCCTCCTCTTACAATGCTATCCTGGGAAGGCCATGGCTGCATACAATGGGGGCTGTTCCCTCAACATTACACCAGCTGTTGCGGTTCTCAACAGAGCACGGAATTGAGGAGGTCAGAAGGGATCAAGTACAGCTAAAGAATTGCTCCATGGCAGCAATGAAATCTACCTGCAACATAAGCGAAGCAAAACCAGCAGAGATTGAAGACGAGGACATGGAAGTCCTGGAGGACGTCGGCAAAGAGCCAGCCGAGAAGAGTGAGGAAGCCCTGAAGAAAATCCTTGTCCAGCAAGGGGATGAAGAGCACTTCTTCCTTCTCAGCTCAGGTTTGGCTGAGGAAAAGAAAAAAGAGCTAGAGGCGTTCTTGAGAGCAAACATTGAGGTGTTTGCCTGGACGCTGTACGAGATACTTGGCATTGACCCCGAGGTCACTTGCCATAAACTAAATGTAGACAGGTCGGCTAAACCTGTCATCCAGCGAGCAAGAAGGTCGACATTGATGCATGTCGAGGCAGTAGAAGAGGAGATGGAAAAACTTCTGGAGGCCAAGGCCATTCCAGAGGTAAATTACCCGACATGGTTATCAAATACGATAGTCGTGAAAAAGAAGAATAGGAAGTGGAGGGTCTGTGTGGACTTCACTAGCCTGAACAAGGCTTGTCCCAAAGACAGTTTCCCACTACCCAAGATTGACCAATTAGTGGATGCCACTTCAGGGCATGGAATGATGAGCTTCCTGGATGCATACAGGGGGTACTATCAAATAGCTATGTATCCCCCAGATGAGGAGAAGACTGCATTCATCACCCCAAAAGGGCTATATTGCTACAGAGTGATGCCTTTTGGGTTGAAAAATGCAGGAGCAACTTCTCAGAGATTGGTAACCAAGATGTTTAGACATCTAATAGGCAGAACAGTAGAGGTATACATAGATGACATGGTCGTGAAGACCAAGGAGCTTGAAAATCATCTAGCCGACCTAAAGGTAGTTTTTGACATCCTTAGAACATATCGGCTCCGACTCAATGAATTGAAATGCGCATTTGGAGTTGGGTCTAGTAAGTTCTTAGGATACTTGGTCACCAAAAGGGGCATTAAGGCTAGCCCCAATCAAATCAAGGCTATTTTAGAGTTGGAGAGCCCAACATCGGCAAAGCAAGTGCAAATGTTGACTGGAAGGGCTGCAGCCCTAAATAGGTTCATAAGCAGAAACTTTGACAAATGTAAACCGTTCTTCAGTTTAGTTAAGAAAGCCACAGACTTCTTATGGACAGAAGAATGCGAAGTTGCCTTGGATGACTTGAAGAAGTATTTGACCACAGCTCCAGTTCTCTCAAATCCAGTACCAGAAGAGGAGTTGTTCTTATACTTGGCAGTTTCAGAGCATGCAGTGAGTACAATAGTAATTAGAGAAGAAATGAGAGAGCAAAAGGCAATTTACTACGTGAGTAAGACCCTAGCTGATGCTGAGACCAAATACATACCCTTGGAGAAGCTAACACTGGCCTTAGTAATGGCTTCCAAGAAGCTGAATCATTACTTTCGAGCCCACAAAATTGTGGTGTTAACTGAGCATCCCTTGAAGTCCTTGCTGCAGCAGGGAGATCTTATAGGAAGAATAGCCAGATGGGCAGTGGTGTTGGGCCAATATGACGTAGAATTCAGACCCAGAACAGCAATCAAAGGCCAAGTTTTGGCCGACTTTGTGGCCGAGTTCACACTAGGTGCCATCACACATCGGGCTCCATTGAGCCGAGGTGAACAAGGAGAAACCCAGCTGGGGATAGCCAAACAGAGAAAAAAAGAGAAACTTAGGCCATGCAGTATTTACGTCGGCGACTCCTTCCGGCTGTTTGTTGATGGGAGTTCAAACCGACAAGGAGCGGGGGCAGAAGTAGTGCTAGTATCGCCAGATGGACAAGTACTGGAACAATCCATTCGTTTGGGGTTTAGAGCCTCAAATAATGAAGCAAAGTATGAAGCACTGATCGCAGGGTTAAAGCGGGCAGTAGCAATGGAAGCTGATAAGGTAATAGTCTTTTGTGACTCCCAACTTATCATCAACCAGGCAACAGGTGAATACACAGCCCGAGACGAAAGGATGTCAGCCTATGTAAAGAAGGTGGGCAGACTAGTGGCCTTATTCCAGAATTGCCGACTACAGCAGGTTAGCCGAGATGACAACAGCCATATTGATGCTCTGGCCAACCTGGCTAGTGCAATAAAACCTGGAGAGGCAAGGACAATAATGGTGGACTACTTGTCAGGTCCAAGTATAGAACTGCTGAACACAGAGCATGAAGCAATGTGTGTGGAGATAGGACCAAGCTGGATGGACGCAATAATAACATTCCTATGGAAAACTACCAGATGATCATAAAGAAGCACACAAGATCAGACTGAAGTCGGCAAGATTCAGTCTAACAGCAGAGGGGCATCTCTACAGAAGGTCTTTTACTGGTCCCCTTTTGAGGTGTGTACATCATTCACAAGTTGAAGACTTCCTGTATGAGATACATGAAGGAGTATGTGGAAGCCACACTAGGGGCAAGTCACTTGCTCATAGGGCCATTACTCAGGGGGTACTAGTGGACCTACATGCAGAAAGATGCTGAAGCCTATGTCAGAAAATGAGAGAAGTGTCAGAGGTTTGCACTTTTGATACACTAACCAATAGCAGATCTGAACCCAGTGTCCAGCCCTTGGCCATTTGCCCAATGGGGCATAGATCTTGTTGGACAACTACCTCAAGCACCTGGACAAAGGAAGTGTCTGCTAGTGCCAACAGACTACTTCACCAAATGGGTAGAAGCTGAACCCCTCGCAAAGATTTGAGATGTTGATATGAAGAATTTCATATGGAAAAACATCATCACCAGGTTTGGGATTCCAAGAGCAATAATAGCAGACAATGGTACACAGTTTGACAGTAAGCTAATCAAGAGCTTCTGTGTAATGTACAAGATCACGAATTATTACTCTACTCCAAGGTTCCCTCAAAGCAATGGTCAAGCAGAAGCATCCAATAAGACGATCTTGGATGGGATCAAGAAAAGACTAGAAGCAGCTAAGGGAAGGTGGGTGGATGAGTTGCCCAGTGTACTTTGGGTATATCGGACAACGTCGAGAAGGTCAACTGGGGAATCCCCATTTGCCATGGCTTTTGGCACAGAGGCAGTAATCCCACTGGAAGTCGGCATCCCTAGGATCAGAACCCAGAGAATAGAAAATGGGACCAATGATACATGCTTGGCCCGAGATCTGGATCTGCTAGAAGAAAGAAAGGAGAAAGCAGCAATTCAGCTGGGGGCATACCGACAGCAGCTTGCCAGGGCTTACAACAGAAAGGTTAACCCACGAGAGTTCCAGATTGGGGACCTCGTTCTAAGAAAAGTTGTCGGCAACAAGAAGGATCCTAGAGAGGGCAAGCTTGGCCCAAACTGGGAGGGACCTTATAGAATCACCTCGGTCCTGGGCAATGGTGCATATCGGTTTGAAGATAGTGAAGGCAAAGAGTTGCCAAGACCCTAGAATACTTGCAATCTGAAGTTTTTCTATCATTAGATCTTTTGTTTTTTAAGTTTCTTGTTATTAGCCGACGAAATAATAAAGTCTTAACTTGATTTTTTAAAATTTGTGTACTATGACTGACCAGTCACTTGGCGATGTTTCTAATCGAAACATGACGAATAACTTAGACTTATTATATGGCAGAGTTTCTACTTGCATATAATAGAGTTGAACTAAGTTGGCGATGTTTCTAATTGAAACATGACGAATAACTTAAACTTATTATATAGCAGAGTTTCTACTTGCATATAATAGAGGTGAACTAAGTTGGCGATGTTTCTGATTGAAACATGACGAATAACTTAGACTTGTTATATGGCAGAGTTTCAACTTGCATATAATAGAGTTGAACTAAGTTGGCGATGTTCCTGATTGAAACATGACGAATAACTTAGACTTATTATATGACAGAGTTTTTACTTACATATCATAGAGTTGAACTAAGTTGAATTAACCTATATCAGTTAGATTAATAGGGAGACCGAGGTTAATGACCTCGGCTAGCCTCTGTTTGAATCTAATCTCGGCGACAAGATCAATGCCACGTGCTTAATGAGAACCCAAGTGGAACTTAAGTTCACATTAGGGGGCAAAGAGTTGGAAGAATAATGCTCGGAAGTTAGAGTTTACATGCTAAAACTGGTTTAACACTTGTTGAAATTTTGAGAAGAATTTACAAGTTGAAGTTAAACCGGGGTCATGTTGAAAGAAAATTGGTTTAACACTTGTTGAAATTAAGAATAATTTACAAGTTGAAGTTAAGCAAAAGTTATTTCTAAAGAAGTGTCTGCAAAATATTGCCGAGATTACCATATTACCAAGATTTGGAAGATAGGAGCCTTAGTAAGAAGAGTGAGTTGGCAAATTATAAATGACACTTGTGAAAATAATATCAAAAATATTTTTAAGGGTTAGTTCAAGGCCGAGATAAAACTACTTTAAGTATATCTAAGGTATTTCATACCGAGAAAATTACACAGTTAAGGTGTACTTTGAAAAAACATACAGAATATTCTAAGTATAGAATCATACAAGACAATAAAAGGAAGACAAACATTCAATCACACTGAGAAAAGAAATTAGAGAGTGCATTCAGATAAGGACAGAAGGCACTTTGGCCTGACATTGAAGAGTAATTGTTCAAATTACAAAAGTGGCACGTCGGCCAAATTAAAGCTTACAATGTTTCAAAAGTAAGAGAAAAAGTATAAGGTACAAGAAATAGAGAAAGGCGTTAAAATAAACTACTCGGCGTTGGCGGCGGGTTGTGTTTCAGCCCCAAAAGACAGTTGGGAAGACTTCTCGGCTGCCTTCTCAACCGCGAGCTCGGCATCGATCTCTTGAAGAGTCTGGTCGAGGCTCTTCTCGGCGATAGGCGCGTCAGACATCGTCTTCTCAGGGGTAGCATCTTTGGAAACCTCATCCTCCTCATCCTGAGACAAGTCCACGACTTGCTCATTCAGAGTAAGGGACTTGGCCCCAACAGCTTCTTTTTTCTTTTCAGCCTCAGCTTCCTCCTCGGACTCTGCCTCGTCCTCGGATTGGCTTGGAGTAGGGAGGAATGGCAAGATGAGGTTGCTGGCATTTTTTAGGAGAGAGTCCTCAGGGACAACCAACTTCTTCAAAGCAGCCATCCAACCAAGGGTGAAACCCTTGTTGCATGCCTGCTTCACTTGTTTCTTGTAATCTTCCTTGACGTCGGCTGCCCCCTCGGCGTACGTCTTCTCATCAGCCGCTTTGATCTTGACGTCCTTTGTAGCCAGGGCAGCAATAAGCTCAGCCTGGGCTTTGGCTTTCTTTTCCTCAGCCTCTTTCTTTTTGGCTTTGAGAACTTTGGCAATAGCCTCGGCAGCCCCTGCCCTCTCATCGGCCTCGTCCTTAGCTTTTTTGGCTTCCTTGGCCTGGTTTGTTAAAGTCTTCATCTTGGCCTCAGCCTTGTTAATGGCCCTCTGCAAACTAGCAGCCTCCTTGGTCTTATTTGCCAACTCCTTATTAATGTTGAAGGCTTGCATTGCGAAGGAGTGGCCATGCTAGATCGTCTAGAAGAAATAGAAAAGAACAAATGTTAATAAAAACTCTCTAAGTAGGAAATAGCAAAAAATGAAAAGTACCAAGTGTTAAGGGCTTACTTAGACGGAGTGTTACAACATTAGAGCGAAATTTTTGTACTCGCTCATCTTGGCGTTGCAGTTGAGATCGTTGGGAAGGAGCAAGGCAGTAGAAAGGACAACGTCGATTTCAATGTTATTAGCGTTGTCACCAGCTCTGACTAACTTGTCCTTAATTGTGATTCGGGGGGCCCAAGGGGCGTCAGATTTGAGAGACCCCGAGGTGGCCGCAGAGGCCGACCTCGGCCTCTTTGACTTGGTGGATTCGGATGGTTCAGCCTCAGCGGGCCTCTTCTCGGCGGTAGAGGAGGTCTTCTCACCCTCAGCTAATTTTGAAATCGGCAAGGTGTCTTCAATATCAATCTGAGTCATCGTTGCCTTGGGTTGGGCCTTCTTCAGTCTTTTTTGTTTCGGCTTTGGCTGAGGCTGGAATGGTGCTGGTTCTGCGGTGACAATGTCGAGGATGTCAGCTAAAAGGTCATCTACAACAGCTTTCTTACGACCCATCTCGGCGGCGATTGCAATTCTACGTCGGTGTTTGCGTTGGAAAGGTGCGATTAGTTGCGAAGCCGAGGTAGAAGGCTGCTCTACTGGATCGGATGTTGATCTTTGGTCAGGCCTTGACGATTCAGCCTGCGGAGTTGTAGCTGATGGAGGAGACTTGCTCTTGCTTTTTCTTGGAACGTCGGGGAGTACGGATTTGTAAGTCGGGATAAAATTCAGAAGCAGAGGAGCCTTGCGCTGATCGATTGGTAAGTTCAACAACTTCTTAAAGTCCTTGCTGGGAAAGAAGGACTTGCGAAAATCCTTTAGTGGCTGAGGGAGAGCTGCACGACAAAACAGACGTTAGCACATATATAGAAGGAACAAAGTGTTAAAGACTTGAGAGCAAGTAAGGTGACACTTGGCTCTTACCATCACCCTCTTTAAAAACTGATCGGCTCAAGGGATAGAGATGGAGGTCCTTATCTAGTGAGAATTCCCAGTTGCCCGAGACGATGAAAAAATCATCCCCGGCACCCTTGTTGGAATCAGGGAGGTCGGCGATTAGTTTGTATTGGGTCGACCTCCGCTTAAGATAGTAGATGTAGCCTTTTTCTGACTTAAGGCCACACATGGTGTAACAATACTGGATGTCGGCAAGAGTAACCCTAGCGTTCTCTCTTTTTGCTAAGGCTATTATGCCATTGATAACTCGGTAAGAGTTAATGGCAAGCTGCATTGGGTTCAATTTATAATAATGAAGGATTTCTCGGAAAAGGATATCAAGTGGAAACCTGAGTCCACATTCTGTGAAGGCTACGACAGAGAACGGCATGAAGTTCTTGTTAGGCATGATGGAGTCTTCCTCCCCTGCCAACCTCAGATGGACGTCGGCAGGGATGGAAAACTCCTGCCTGAAATATTCTAACTTGGTTGGGGTGTCTACCCTATACCTCCACATACCCATGATGTCGGCTTAAGGGGAAAGTATTGGATTTCAGAATGAAGTTTTTTGTAGGGGTTTGAGGGACCTCAGCTAAAAACTGCAAGCGTGTTGGGGCAAATTTTTCTGAAAGATCCAAAGGGAATTCGTTTCAATTTTTCCTAAAATTCGTGAGTTCTACGACAAATCTCAAACCTAAGTCTATGTAAACAAGGACTGAAGGCAAGAATCTGGAAAAAGACACAGAAAACAAAACAAGAACAGTGATTCAAAATCAAGAATGGTGATGAACTATCAAGAACACAGTGGCAAAAATCAACAAATATGTAAGCAGTGTGTGTATACTTAAGAATGGATTGGGCAAAAACGGAATCATGAAATAAACACACTCAATACATGATAGAATTCAAGATACAAATTAACGATCGAAGACATGATCATGAACGCAAATGCAACGAATACAGCAGTGGAGTTCTTTGGAGTAAAACAAAAAATTAAAACAAGAGGAGCAGTGGCTTACTAGGAAGAAAAAGGCCGGTGTGAAATACGCCGGTGTCAGACGGTGGCAGTGAGCAAAGAAGTGCAGCGAGAGCCTCGCCGGATGGGGAGAGTGAAACTGGTTGCAGAAAGGTTCGCGAAACCAGCAATGGAGGGTTTGAGAGAGAAAGTTTGAACGAGAACAAAAACGCAAAAGTGAAAAGACGAAGAGAGAGAAGTGATTTTGATCAAACACATGAAATGGCGGCAAAATGGCAATTATGGTACCTAAGACGACGTGCTTGTCAGATGGCGCACGCGAATGCAATACGACTTGATGGCGCGTGTCAAACATGGCTCAGTGGGGGAAAGACGCATGGCTGAAACAGTTGAAATATTGTGCGTGACAGCTCATATGCGTGTTGAAACTCTTGGAGTTCTTGATTTAATGGAGCAGGACCTTTGCTAGGGGGACGATCTCGGCTGGGAAATTTGAACAAACTTGGTTATTGGTCCTGAAACATTGATGAAAATAGACTAAGTCTTGGTGGTATTGAGCCGATGAATGGTGACCTCGATAATGAAGGACAAGGCAAGCTTAGCCGACGTGCTAAATGGAAGAAACGATATAGGTTCCATCACCTCAGGATGTCAAGGTAATAGAACCTTGGGGCAGTTGTGGGGACATAATATTTGAGTGACAACACGTGGCCGAGGTGGCACTGAAGTGCCAGCCGAGGCGCCACGTGTCCTGGTCATGATGCCGAGATGATCTCGGATAGGCCGAGGTTATCTGCGAAGATACCGGAATCTGGGATAAGCGGATAAGAGACAAGAGTCCTAGAATAAGCGAGGACTTCAGTTTGAATAAAGGTATGACTCTTAGAGAGTTTATCCCAATCCTACTGGGAGTCCAAGATTAGCAGTAATCCAAAAACCATTGAAGTTAGACTTCTATTGGGATTAGGTCAGTGTTGGCTATAAAAGAGATGCACCCCCGTGGGTCTAAGGTACGCTTTTGATATTCTGAATAGTGAGTTAAGCAATTTTGCTATCTTTGAGAGATAACAGACTTGATCGTCGAAGTGCTCTCGGGTGGACGAACCACCGCCGGAATCTTATCTTTTCTGTGACAGGTCGTTCGGGCTTAATCTATTCTATCGGTGCTCTCCAACTGAGTACCTGTTTGGCAGTGTGGTCGAAAATTGACACACATTACACATCAACAAAATTACCCTACATAATGTTGTTCACAAATCAAAATAACATAAATCAAAAACAAAAGTTTTCCTCCTAATTCTTTGTAGGTAACAAAAACAAAAGTTAGTCGCATTTTTCACAGGCATGCATTCCACAAGAAGCAAACTCCTATTCGGGAAATATCTGAAAATAAAAAATAAAAATAATTAATGACAATATAATTATGTGTTAATATGTTAATTACAAAAAAAAATCATAAAAATTTAACTACTATATAATTACAAAGATAATTAAGTAAATAATTTTGGCTAGACCGAAATCTGGCTTTAACATCCAAACCAGGAACCCGATTTGAGTCCCGTCTTCTCCCACAAGTCTCTCGTGCCTAGGTGGTCTTGGATGCCAAGTTTCATGCTTATCCGACGTCGTTTGGTGATTTTGGAGCGTCAACACCTCAAATTCAAGTTTCTTAAGAAACTAGTTTGCCTAGAGTGAAATCTGGCTCTCACTCCCAAATCAGGAACTCGATTCGAGCCCCGTCTTCTTCCACAAGTCTCTCGTGCCTAGGCAGTTGTGTGTGCCAAGTTTCGTTCTAATCCGACGTCGTTTGGTATTTTGGGGCGTCAACACCTCAAATTCAAGTTTCTTAAGGAATTAGTTTGCCTAGAATGAAATCCGGCTCTAACTCCCAAAACAGAAACCCGATTCGAGTCCCGTCTTCTCCCACAAGTCTCCCGTGCCTAGGCGGTCGTGGGTGCCAAGTTTCGTACTAATCCGACGCCGCTTGGTGATTTTGGGGCGTCAACACCTCGAATTCAAGTTTCTTAAGGAACTAGTTTGCCTAGAATGAAATCTGGCTCTAACTCCCAAATCGGGAACCCGATTTGAGCCCCGTCTTCTCCCACAAGTCTCTCGTGCCTAGGCGGTCGTGTCTGCCAAGTTTCGTGCTAATCCAACGCCGTTTGGTGATTTTGCGGCGTCAACACCTCGAATTCAAGTTTCTTAAGGAACTAACTTGCCTAGAATGAAATCCGGCTCTAACTCTCAAACCAGGAACCCGATTCGAGTCCCGTCTTCTCCCACAAGTCTCTCGTGCCTAAGTGGTCGTGTGTGCCAAGTTTCATGCTAATCCAACGCCGTTTGGTGATTTTGGGGCGTACATTTTTCATATATTTCAAAAAAATTAGTACAAAAATACTTTAAATACCAAAACTACAAATAGTTTTCATTAAATACCAAAAATACAAAAATTCAGTACATTTTTCATATTTTTGTGTATTTATTAATTTTTAAAAATATTTTTTCACAAATATTTTACTTTTTAGACACATCTAAATAAAATGCATTTAAAAAAGTAAAAAAAAAATGTTTAAAATTTTTAAAATATTCACTAAAAACAAAAAAAAAATATGAAAAATAAAAAAACTCAATTTTCAAAAAACTTCATTCAAATGAATATTTTTTTTTTACTTTTTTTTTTTTGCAACAGTACCTACTACAGTCGCAAAAAACTCACTTTTTTTTTTTGTGACTGCAGCTGGTGCTGTCGCAAAAACTCTATTTTTTCGCAACAGCAATCTCTGTGTAGACGTCCCTGAACATCCCGGGAGGATGAATCCCGTTCTATTCATTTTGGGCTCACTACAGTTCGGACTCTCAAATCGTCACGGTTCTTAATCTGAACCAAAGAGTCCAAATCTAGCAAATCGTTTTAAAAAACAGATTTTATGTAAAGAAGTGTCAAACATGGACTGCTTTGCCAGATACAGAGTCGCCACCTAAATATTTTATTTTGGGAAAT